GTCTTAAAACTGCTGCAACTCATTTCTCACAGGCTTATAACTTGGCAAAATCCCAGCTGAGATATTAACCGTCATTCACATTGACATTTTCTGTAACATTCCCACCTGTCATAGGAAGTCTACAGGCATACAAAAGGCATGAAAGAGACAGAGTCCAGGCCTAATGTAAGCAACCTTTATGCCCAGTTCTTTTATCAGCAACATACCATGGCTGTAAGGCATACAACACTACTTGTTTTTCACAGCTTTTACTTCCATCACAGATTTACAACAGTGGAGATATAGAAATTGCACACGTGTGGGTTTGACCAGTGTTGCTACTAAGCTAACTGAAGCAAGAACTTTTGCACCGAATATTTATTAAACCCAGGTACTGTAAATGTTAATGGCCCTTGAAATCTGTTCAATTTTCCTCTTGTAGCTGCCTTGGAGTACCAGCCTTGGCTTTGAAAAAGAAAACAAAAGCTTGTGACGAATAAGCTAACAGAAGTACATACAACTGTGTCTTCTAATCAAATCACACACTGTTTAAGGTGGATGTTTTAGTCAAATCATTTAAAAAATGGATGGATTGGCCCATATTCTAGGATTTGGAGCTGGTGATTGGGAGTGGCTATGTTACACCGGGAGGAGGTGTAGCGAGGAAGGAGTTTTGAGCACCTGGAATGTGAGGCACAGGCGCTGGGGAATGCTTGACCACTCCCCCATGCTAGGTCCTGCACCCCCTCCACCACAACCCCAAGCCTCTGCCCCGCCTCTTCCTGCCCCTGCTCTGTCCCCAGCTTACCTCTTCTCACCATCTTCCCGAGGACACTTGTCTCTGCTCCTCTGCTTCCCTCCCAGAGCCTACTGCATGCCACAAAACAGCAGTTTGCAACAGGTGGGAGACACTGGGAGGGAGGTAAGGATTTATCAGGAGGCTGCCAGCAGGTGAGAGGTGCTGGTGGGGATGGGAGCAGAGGGATGAGCACATCTGCTGGTGATTACGGAGCACCCACTAATTTATCTCTGTGTGTGCTTCAGCCCCAGAGCACCCCTGGAATCAGCGCCTATGATGCAAAGCAGGTTGGAACTCCTAGGTTTCTTTTTTTAAAACAGGAAGCATGGTCTGGTGGCTAAATCAAAATAACAAAAGCGTAGAGAACCACAGACCTGCTGCAAGTCACTGAGGCTTTGTCTAGATTGGGATCTGGAAGGTGTTCACTAACATGTGTTACCATCCTGATCTAGACAAGGCAGTGTATTTTTCATACATGCTAAGATGATTGATGTAAAGCTTTAATTTGACCATTGAAAGACTTGTGAGAGGCATACTGCCTTGTCTACACAAGACTTAACACTAACATGTTGTCTAGACTAGGATTTGAAAGGTGTTAGGAACAGGTTAGTGTTAACAGCCTATTGTAGGCACTGTAACATGTGTCAGAGCCTCAGAAGGGCAGCGCGCGCACACACACGTGCGTGTGTGTGTGTGTGTGTGTGTGTAGAGAGAGAGAGGGAGAGAGAATCATGAGCTTTCATGGGCAAAACCCACTTCTTCAGATGAGGTGATCTGATGAGAGCGTTAAAGCTGCATATCTTGCAGAAACACACTGCCTTGTACCAGCTAAGTATTAGCTAACACCTTCCAAATCTTTGTCTAGATAAAGTCTCTCTATCCCATTCTTCCTCCCATTCTTTGTTTACAACTAGGGCTGTAAGCAATTAAAAAATGTAATCGTGATTAATCACGCGATTAATCGCGTGTGTCTCCCCTTTGAAATGCTGCCGCGGCGTTTCAACGGGGCAGTGCTGCATGGAGCCTGGGATCAGATGGAGTCCCCAGCTGACTCTGGGCTCCATGCAGCGCTGCCCCCTTTGAAGCGCCATGGTGGCGCATCAAAGGGGCAGCACAACACGGAGCTGAGGATCAGCTGGAGTGCCCAGCTGATCCTCAACTCCGGGTTGCATTGCCTCTTGAAAACACCATCCTGGCGCCTCAAAAGGCAGTACATTAGGAGCCCAGGATCAGCTGGAGTGCCCAGCTGATCCCTGGCTCCACGTTGCTCTGCGCCTTTGAAGCACTGGAGCGGCACTTCAAAGGGACAGTGCAACCAGGAGCTGAGGATCAGCTGGGCACTCTAGCTAATCCCCAGTAGGGAAGTTAAAAACTAGTCAATTCCTAGTAGGGAAGTTAAAGACTAGTCGATTCCTAGTAGGGAAGTTAAAGACTAGTGGACTAGTCGATTCGGCCCCCCACCCTCACCCTATGCTGCTTCTATCAGATAGAGGCAGCAAAGTGGGAGGAAGGGGTACTTCAAAGTGGCAGCATTTCAAAGGGGCAGCCGTGGAGCCTGGGGGTCAGCTGGGGACTCCCCTGCTGACCCCAGGTTCTGAGGAAATGCCGCACAGAGCCCAGGATCAGCTGGTGAGTTCCCAACTGACCCCAGGCTCCACTGCCCCTTTGAAACACATGGAGGTGGCATTTCTAAAGGGCAGACACCACACAGCTGATCCCTGGCTCAGCTGTGAGGTGACTGTTCCTTTGAAATGCTGCCCCTGTGTGTTTCAAACGTGCAGTGTAGCCTGGGGTCAGCTGGGGAGTCCCAGCAACGTTTCAAAGGGACAGCGCAGCATTAACATCTGCAATTAATAAAATCAAACAAAAAGCCTTGAAAGGACTTGGGAAGCCTCATTTGAAGTTATACAGCTCTTCTACTTACCTCTTATAGCTTTTGTCATGAAAGCTTATGCCACAATACAGTTGTTAGTCTTTAAGGTACCACTGGACTGACTCCGAGTTGTTTTTATTGAAACAGACTAGGGCTACTACCTCTGAAACCTGAGATCCCAATGTAATGAGCTGGCCAGTATACATGAACTGCCCTCTAATGGATAGTTTCAGAACTTCAAGAGTGTGTAACAATCATAAGCCATATAGAGCTAACAGGTTAGTGAGATTTTCCTTACACAAAAGAGGGCAGGGTGTGTACTTTTAGAGCAGGAGGGCTGGAACGCTTGTACAGGCAGCTGCTGCTGGGAAGTGCCAAGTAGTTTCTAGCTGTGAAATTCAGATAATTTTTGTTGTGTGAGTCAGAAATTGAGGGCTGTTAGGTTCCAGTGGGTTGGCTTATGTCCATCTCTATTTAATTAACTTTGGTAGACATCTTATGGATCATTACATGGAAGAGTCTATAGAAACACAAAGGTTTTTTTCCCCCTTTAGGGAATGCCCCTATTTTATGGAGTAAAATAATTTATATATAAAAAAAATGTAAACACTGCACTATTCACAGAGTCAAACCAGCGAAAACAGTGACAGCAGCCAGATGACATATTTTACCATTAAAGGCTCAAAACCAAAGCTCTTTAAGGCAATATATTTCCACTCAGCAATCTGAAGTATTACAAGCTTTACACAGTCCCATTTTCAATTGATGATGCTTTAATGAGAGGGTGTTACTCTCACCCATACCATCATATTTGAATGATTATTTCTGTAGGGTTATAAAAACCCCACAGCTGAGCTGAATTTGTTTTTCTGCAACATCAAGAATGTGCCAACACTAAAATCACCAGAGTGTGTAGCTTTCATATTTACGGTATCTTTTACAAGCATGCTTCGCATACCGCCCAAGAGAGACTACTGTGCCCCACAGAAATATGGAGCCAGGATTCATTTAAAGGAGAGTATTTCACAATCCATCATCTCAGAATACGAGAGCAAGGAGCTGCTCAGTTAAATTAATGGCAAGTATATTTAAAAGGGAATTCATCTTAATGCTATGTGTAGCCAGGATGTGTAATTAGGTGATGATAGAATTCAAGCACCGTGGCTTGAATTTTTTTTTTAAAAATGGTTGGATAATCCTAAACCGAATAGTAGTAATAATTATCCTTGTAGACAGGCATGATAAGCTACAAGTAACCAGAACTCAGGCCTCAGAATGTAAATCAACAACCGTGGGGGTCAGATGCCCCTCTCTTCATTTACTGCTAGATGGGTAGGTGCATTTGGGGTGGTACTTTATTTTCTTCCAAGCATCTAGTAATGGTTTCTGCCAAAGAGAAAGGCTACCTGGCTGAATGGATCAATAATCTGACCTACTGTGGTAGATCCCAAGGTGAATATCACACATAGACTTGGTTGTGATTGGGACCTGGGAGGGTGAAGAAAGGGAAGGGGAAACTGAACTGAAAGAGATTTGACCTCAGTTCTCTTTAAGTTGTACTAACTAGGACAAGGGTGGGCAAGACAGTGTTCATAGCTGGATCTGGCCCACCAAGCCGGTTGATTTAGCCTGCGGCCACTCTGCCACACCCTCGCCTCAGGCTAATTGAGACCTGGGAATAAGGGAGCATGTGAAGTCTCTTCCCCCCCATCAGGGGTGCACAGCACCAGAGAGAACCGCCAGCTGTTCAAAATGGCTGGTGGTTCTCTCTAGGTGCTGCGTGTCTCTGTCAGGGCGGGGGCGGGGGGCAAACACTTTACATGCTCCCCTGCCCCTGACCAATCAGGGTCTGTGGGCAGGGGAACATGCAAAGTCTACTGGCCCCTCCCTTCCGCCCAAGACCCCGCCTCTTTCGGGACAGCCCACAGCCACGTCCAAAATGTGAGAAGTGGCCCCTCCTTCAAAAATTATCTCCCACTCCTGAACTAGAACCTAGAATTTCCATACCAAAAGTCACACAAAGTGCATTTCAGTCTCCTCAGCTCTTCAACTGTTAGTATTTTATTTATTTACTTAATGCCCCAGAAGGCACCAAGCTGACAGATCTCACGCTCTTCAGGGTCTTTTATCTACTAAGAACAGTTTCTAGGGAAGGGGAGAGGCAAAGGAACACAATATAAGTGTGACGGGGCAGAGGGGGCACTCCGCTCTCCTGGCGGCTCTCGGGGCAGGGGGCGGAGCAGCCCGGGGATCGAGCGGCGCCAGGGACAGCCTACAGACGGTGCGCCGGGTGTTCACAGGTGGCCACCCCGACAGGATGCCCGGGCACGGCGGGGAGTCTGGACGCCGGCGCAGGGGTGGTGATGTCATCACGCGGCCCCGCCGCTGGCCCGGAAGCGTGGCCACACCGGAAGGGGCGGGGCCCTGCAGGCTGGGAGCCGGTGTGGGGATTTAAACCCCAGGAGATGCCGGGGAAGGGAGGGAGCTCAGAGGGAGCAAGCCTGTAACAAGAGGAGTGACGGATGGGACCCAAAGTGAGGTGGTGAGCCCGGCTGCTACGGGAAGTGGTGACGGCAGAGAGAGGAAGTAGCCCAGGGCGGGCAAAGGGAGCCTGTGGGCTGGTGAGTTACAGCGAATGCCCCGCTAGCCGGACTGGACGGCATAGGCGTTTGTGTCCTTAGGTCCCTGGGCTGGGGTCCGTGAGAGGGGGCAGGCCCAGACCCTCCCTCTCCCCGCCTCAGGGGCCAGTGAACTCCCAACCTAGGGGAAGCCCTATGAACTACTGTTAAGACAAACTTGAATGCCGGAGGGCTCTCAAAAAGGGGTGAAGGAAGCACGGGGCCAAGGGGGGGTGACGTGGTGCCAACGGGGCACCCTATAGACCCGTTTACAATAAGATTGTAAAATAATTTCACATTCCTATTTCTGCTACTTTACCCCCACTTTGCTGATACCAGTCTTTTTTAGGGTATTATTAACTTGTGCCTTTTTTTCAGTTTTCTTAAACATTTTTAAATAACTTTTGTTCATTCCATTTATTTTTAGTTTTAACTCATCACCTCTAGATTATTTTAACCGTGGTATATTCTCTATATTTATGTTTCACCCTACCTTTTTCATTCTAGCAGAAATAACAGGTTGAGATTCCCAGAAACATGGCTCCACAAAATTCACTCTCTTTGACAACTATTAGTTTAGTCTGTCAGTTCTTCTCTAGCTTCAGAGGGGTAGCCAAGTTAGTCTGTAACAGGAAAAACTTAAAAAACAACCAATAGTCTATTAGTACCTTAAAGACTAGCAAAACGTGTAGATGGTATCATGGGCTTTTGTGGGCACAACCCACTTCTTCAGATGACAGGATTAGTAGTCCAGATCCAGTACTTTTCTAGTACCTCAGAATACTATCCCCACTGCCTTACACCTGAAAACAGCTTCAGGCAAAACTGAGTGGACTTTAATTTGTATTAGTTTTCACAGATTAGGCCTCCTCTAAAAGCTTTGCCTCAGTTACAGCCAGCTTTGCCCCATGCAGCCATACAAGGGCAACATAAGAACGGCCATACTGGATCAGACCAAAGGTCCATCTAGCCCAGTAGCCTGTGTGCCGACAGTGGCCAGCACCAGGTGCCCCAGAGGGGGTGGACTGAAGGCAATGATCAAGCGATTTGTCTCGTGCCATCCATCTCCAGCCTCTGACAGAGGCCAGGGACACCATTTCTATCCCCTGGCTAATAGCCTTTTATGGACCTAACCTCCATGAAATTATCTAGCTTCTCTTTAAACTCTGTTATAGTCCTCGCCTTCACAGCCTCCACTGGCAAGGAGTTGACTATGCACTGTATGAAGAAGAACTTTCTTTTATTAGTTTTAAACTTCTTACGTAGGTGGTCAAATCCACTATCTATGCTCAGGGAGTTTTACCTCTGCTGAAACAGTGTGGTGGGTCTGGGCGCCCCGGCAGCAAGACTGCGGGCCCCCGCAGCAGGGCTGGTGGGACGGGAGTGCAGGTGGGGCCTGCTGCTGGCAAGGCAGTGGGGCTGGTGGCAGGAGGGGAGATGGCGGGAAGGCTGGCAGCCAGGCCAGGAGATGCCGGGCTGGGGAGGGCCAGAAATGACCTCCCCGGGTCTGGCAAAATCCCTCATTAAGGATCAGTCAGGTCCCAAGGGTACTGGACCAGGAAGGTCCAAGCTGTAATAGTCTTCTATTAATTTTTAAGTGCCTAAAATCACTTCTGAAAATGACACTTGGGTTCTTTTGAACATTTTACCCATGGAATTTGGTTGTTTGCAAAATTTTAATTTTGAATATATTGGACTGGGGAAAAAAAAGATAGATGGGAAGAAATAATTTTCCAGAATGTTTGTTCTCCTTCTTCCTCTTTGTCAAATGGATTTTTGGTGTTTCCGTTTAACCCCACCCAGCCATAAGAGCCACCATGGCAACATATATTTTAATTACCTGTGTTTCTTTTGGATATTGAATGCCATGTTCATAAAAGGTGCTGGATGGATGCCCTGGAGAGGAAGAATGCTAATATGGATATTGGGAGAGCTGAGTGCAATTCCCTGCTCTGCCACACACTTCCTTTGTGACCTTGGCCAAATCATCTACTCTGGTGGTTTTCAATTTGCTGTGCATGAACCACCTTGGAGTTCACAGACCATGATTTCCAAAAAGGTTTTCACCTCCATTTGAAATATTCAGGGGTCCATAAATGAAAAAAACGTTGAAAACCACTGTGCCTCAGTTCCCCGTGTGTGATGGGGTTTTAATAATGACTAATGTGGTTAATAATACATTGGTTGACTGAAAGTCACTTTAGAGGAGGATGGGGGAGGGTTATATAAATTCCTAGGATACACAGTTCTTATTGAAAAAGTATTTTGTTCAGAAATGTAGTTAAGAAAAAAGAGAAACACCCCCCAAAACAACCTGAAATAAAAAACTGAACAAAATTCAGTTTTTTAAAATTGTTATTCAATTCACCCTCCAAACCAAAATTATGCACTTAGTAAGAAGCAGTCTCTGCTCAGAGCTTTCACTCTAAACTGGGGAGTGTAAAAAAGGTTTTTAAAAAATAACCTTGTAATCACTAATTCTGTATGTTTTTCATAGAATCATAGAACACTAGAATTGGAAGGGACCTCGAGAGGTCATCCAGTCCAGTCCCCTGCCCTCACGGCAGGACCCAGTACTGTCTAGATCAGTGGTCCCCAACCTTTTGGGGCTGCCAGGCACCCGGGGGCGGAGCTGCACATGTGCTGCGTGCCCAGGGGCGGCACTGCACATGCGCTGCGCGCCCGGGGTGCAAGAATTGCTCAGGCCGGCCCTGGTCACTAGGCGAGTGCACATAAATGCCCCGGCGGACGCCATGTTGGGGACCCCTGGTCTAGACCATCTCTGATGTTTATCTAATCTGCTCTTAAATATTTCCAGTGATGGAGATTCCACAAGCTCCCTAAGCAATTTATTCCAGTGTTTAACCACCCTTACAGGCAGGAAGTTTTTCCTAATGTCCAATCTAAACCTCTCTTGCTGCAGTTTAAGCCCACTGCCTCTTGTTCTAGCCTCAGAGGCCAAGGAGAACAATTTTTCTCCCTCTTCCTTGTGACACACTTTTAGATACCTGAAATCTGCTATCATGTCCCCTCTCAGTCTTCTCCTTTCCAAACTAAACAAGCCCAATTCTTTCAGTTTTCCTTCAAAAGTCATGTTCTCTACACCTTTAATCATTCTTTTGCTGCTCTTCTCTGGACCTTCTCCAGTTTCTCCACATTTTTCTTGAAATATGGTGCCGAGAACTGGACACAATACTCCAGTTGAGGCCTAATTAGCACAGAGTAGAGCGGAAGAATGACTTCTTGTGTCTTGCTCACAATACTCCTGTTAATGCATCCCAGAATCATGTTTGCTTTTTTTGCAACAGCGTCACACTGTTGGCTCATATTTAGCTTGTGATCCACAATTACCCCTAGATCCATTTCTGTAGTACCCCTTCCTAGACAGTCGCTTCCCATTCTGTATGGCTGTGTCTAGACTGCATCCCTTTCCGTAAAAGGGATGCAAATTAGACACATCGCAATTGCAAATGAAGTGGGGATTTAAATCCCCCCAGCTTCATTTACATAAATATGGCTGCTGCTTTTTTCCGGCTCGGGGCTTTGCCGGAAAAAAGCGTCAGTCTAGACAGGGATCTTTTGGAAAATAAAGCCTTTTCCGAAAGATCCCTTATTCCTTTTTTTAAGGCATCTGACGAAGTGGGTCTTTGCCCACGAAAGTTTATGCTCCTACACTGCAGTTAGTCTATAAGGTGCCACAGGACTCCTTGCCGCTTTTAATGAAGATATTGAACAGAACCGGTCCCAAAACAGACCCCTGCAGAACCCCACGCAAAACAGACTCCTGTGGAACACCACTTATCATGCCCTAATAGCAGGATTGTGAACCATTAATATCTACTCTCTGAGAACGTTTATCCAGCCAGTTATGCACCTACCTTATAGTAGCCCTATTTAAGTTGAATGTGCCTAGTTTTTTTATAAGTTTTTTATAAGAAGATCATGCGAGACCGTATCAAATGCCTTACTAAAGTCTAGGTATACCACATCCACCACTTCTCCCTCATCCACAAGACTCATTGTCCTATCAAAGAAAGCTATCAGATTGGTTTGACATGATTTGTTCTTTACAAATCCATGCAGGCTGTTACCTATCACCCTATTATCTTCCAGGTGTATGCAGAAGAATTTCTTAATTACTTGTTCCATTATCTTTCCTGGCACAGATGTTAAATTGACTGGTCTGTAGTTTCCTGGGTTGTTCTTATTTCCCTTTTTATAGATGGGCACTAGATTGGCCCTTTTCCAGTCTTCTGGAATCTCACCCGACTTCCATGACTTTTCAAAGACGATAACTAAAGGCTCAGATAGCTCCACTGTCAGCTCCCTATTATAGGATGCATTTCATTAGGCTCCGGTGACTTAAAGACATCTAACTTTTCTAAGAAATGTTTAACTTGTTCTTTTTTTATTTTAACTTCTAAACCTACCCCATTTTCACTAGCATTCACTATGCTAGGCATCCCATAACCATCAAACTTCTTGGTGAAAGCCAAAACAAAGAGGTCGTTAAGTACCTCTGCCATTTCCAGGTTTCCTGTTATTGTTTCTCCCTCTTCACTGAGCAATGGGCCTACCCTTTCCTAGATCTTCCTCTTGCTTCTAATATATTTTTAGAATGTCTTCTTGTTACCCATTAGGTCTCTAGTTAGATTGAGGTTGTTTTGTGCCTTTGCCTTTCTAATCTTGACCTACATACTTGCATTGTTTACTTATATTCATGCTTTGTAATTTGACCTACTTTCCACTTTTTATAGGACTCCTTTTTGGTTTTTAGCTCATGTAAGATCTCCTGGTTAATTCATGGTGATCTCTTGCCATACTTTCTATCTTTCCTACACAGTGGAATATCTTTTGAGCCCTTAATAATGCCCCTTTGAAAAACTGCCAACCGTCTTCTGTTGTTTTTCTTCTTAGTCTTGCTTCCCATGGGACCTTACCTACCAGCTCTCTGAGCTTACCAAAATCTGCCTTCCTGAAATCCATTGTCTCTATTTTGCTGT